ATAAACATCGTATTTATAGAAGTCATGTAAAACTAGGCTTTACAATATAAACAGTGGAAAAACAAAATGAAAATAGAAACAAGTTTATTCAACAAGTATGTCCCTTTGAAGCCCCTCCCATAACTGACAGGTGGAAATTCTAAGTGTAGGTATAATTCATAAAAAAAAAAAAATAAATAAATTTTAAAAAAATATCTCAGTTAACATTTTAAAATAAATTAAAACAAAATATTGAATTTAATATGGTAATTTTGGAGTGCTACCAATGGGTAGTTTCTCCTCATGTTGTACATGTCATATTACTTGTTCATATCTACTTGTTGTATTATTATTAATTACAGTTGTAAATTTCGTTAATAAAAAAAAAATATGGTAATTAATATAAATATAAATCCCTAGGAAGAAGTTGAACACCGGCTTATAAGTGGAAAAAAGCATTTGAGAGACATCTACCGGAGAATTAAGTAACTAACACAGTCCGCGATCAGTAAACACCTAGTTGTAAGTTCCGGACGTAACGTAGAATAAATGTTTTAACTTTTCTGTTATTTTTATAGGAAATTACAGAAAAGCCTTTTGTTGTTACTTATAAAATATTGAACAAATATTATTCTTTAATATCAATTAATTATACTAATAATAATGCTCCATTTATTCTGAGACAAGTATCTTTAGAATAATGTATATAAATGTGGGCTTTGGAGCCTCAGACAACAATCCCAAATTAAACAGATTTATATATTAAATAATATAAAGAAAAGAATATTATTTATCTTCAAACTTTAATTAAGAGGAAAAGTATTGCAATAAAAATATTTAAAACAACTAATTATTTATATACATATTTACAACATCTATTTGCAACTTTATGAAAGCTGAACGGATAATGAGTTATATTACGAATGCCAATAATGCCAATAATAAGATTTAAGATTGCCAGTTATGCCAATATGAATATTTTTGCTTAAATTAATAATAACAATAGTATTTATTTTATTTTTCAATTTACAAAATGTACAAGGGACATGCACTACGATCTTCATCTATCAAGTGAAAAATAAATCCAAATTAAAGTAATCCGATGCAGCTAATGCTCATAAAATAAAAATAGTAGTAAAACTTATTTAGTTATATTACGAATGCCAATAATGCCAATAATAAGATTTAAGATTGCCAGTTATGCCAATATGAATGTAAAATAACAATATCTATAATTATAAGGATTTACAAAAAATAAATAGGTGCTTCATTTCACTGACGAATTTGTTAGTACAAAATGTTTAATTTTCATTTTAAAAAAATTTACTTTCCATTTTTTAAATTTAGATTTAAATCATTATTTTACCATTTTATTTTTCCTTGAATTAATTATAACAATACTATTTATTTTATTTTTCAATTTACAAAATGTACAAGGGACATGCACTACGATCTTCATCTATCAAGAAAAAAATAAATCCAAATTAAAGTAATCCGATGCAGCTGATGCTCATAAAATAAAAATAGTAGTAAAATTTATTTAGTAAATAAGTTATATTAAAATATAATTCTTATAATATATTAAACTTAGTAAATATATAATGTTCATTTCATGATAAAAGAAAATAAATTTTTATAATTTATTTTATGTTTTAAATTTAAATTTCCTTTTCTTGAATTCTTTGTAGCCTAACATAGATAGTTCACTAGGTATTATGTGCACATATATACAGAAGAAAACAGGAGATAAAGGTTATATGAAACAGCTGATTAACAGTGATATAGGGGGAAATGCTCATACCTAAAATAGCATAATTCAAAAATGAGTTTTTAAAATTTAAAAAGAAAGAAGAAGAATAAATTAATAATAAAAAAAAACACTGATGCTCCACAAATAATATTACTAAAAAACATCATAAAATAAAACTCAAAGAGACATCATAAAGTCCCTCCTCTTTAACATAGTGATGAAAGAAAGAAAGAAAGAAAAGTAAATTCTATTTTGGGACATTCAGATCCCTAAAAATAATTACAATAACATGATGAACAATTAACTTGCCTACTCTTCGGAAATTCAGACGTCATCAGTGCTGAAAAAGATCACGTATAAGCGTAGAGGCTTATGGCTTTAGTTTGGATTGTTCAATTTATAATGCCTCTTTTCGGGCTGCATGGTTTTTTTAGTTACTTAAGAATTTTATTTTGCAATAAATCGACGATATGTTCATTTTTTTATACTAATTTTTATACGACAGTCTTTATTTTTTGCCTATTATCACTTCTCAAATTTCAGTTCACTGGTTCAGATCCAATGAATTGTCTGATCATCCAATGAATACATTTGTTTAATCAGTGCTAAATATGATAAAAAAGATTGTATAAAAAATCGATAATATAAAAAAGAAAAAATCGAGAAGAAATGTTTTATTAAAAAAAAATTAAGGCTTTCTTTGCTAGACTCATTAATAGAGCTCTGCTCGTTTTTGTTTTTAAATAACTTATAAAGTATATTTCAAGAAAATTCGATTGATCATCTTAATTTAATATGAGCAAAAAAATCATAAGGAGTTTTAACTAAATTTTATAACTTAAAAATTTTAATAAACACTATTTAAAAAATTAAAAAATAAAAACAATCATGAATAACTTTTTTAATGAAACTTTTGAGGACAATTAACAGAAAGGAATTGAAAATAAAATACAAACAAATCTAAAAGAATGATCTTAACCATAACATACAGTACAGTGGCTTAATAATGTGACTTATTAAGTCACTGTAACATAAGAACATGTTAGTGCGATCTATCGGAAGACTAAGCAAGTATAGCCTGGAGTACGTCATGCTCTCTGTTGGCTATATAGCGAACCTTTTGCGTATCTATGCAAAATACTTGCATTAAATATATATGTATATATTCATAATCTAATATGGACTACCAAAATATTCACATGACTATATATTTTTAAAAAGTAATACTCATCTTTAAATTACGACTTATTTTATGCTATTTTTTTCCTTAAGTCTAATAAAATTTATATAATCATTTAACTTTCACTTACCTACATATGAAATATATAGTACGGGAAAATATGTTTGTGTTTCAGACCGCACGAAATTTAATTTTTTTTTTTTTTTGTGTGTGTGTTTTCTCTATTCACAAATTATTACATTTACAATATATACGATTATAATTCTGTATAAATTGCTCTAATAAACTTTGACTGATCGTAATTTGTATCATACTCTAAAAATGACTAAATATATTTATGATAACTAAAATATATGCTGTACACTTTTGACTGAAATAAATTTGCTAAATATCTAACAAAAACTCCTCATTTTTTAACTATAACTATAACTAGTTCAATAGGCCTCTAGTTTCAATTTAATTTAGAATGGTTTGAGCTTCATATCATTCTTCTGACTAGGAACAGCTTTTTCATTTCATAAGTCGGGGTCAGACTACTTTTGATAATTTAATAATATTTCATATGATGATGAAAGAAACGTTCCTTTTAATCTTTAAATTTTTAAATTCCCACCAAAAACAGTTAATCATAATAATAGTAATAAATTTATTTATTGAGCAATTTTACAAATGCCTTTTGGCATATTTTGTAAATGTGACCTTCGTTGCGAACCTCCCCTCCGGGATTAGCGTGAATGCATGATTGGATAAACCTCCCAGTGAAGGCACTCCTAACGTCACTCTTAATGCAGCAGATCCCTGCTCCAGAGGCGTTTGAGTCTCCTTGGTGGATTCTGTGGTAGTGTGTCTGTTAATAATGTTTGTACAAGTGGATTAGGATGCCCAGCTAAGGAGTCATGAAAATGTTTGTAATATTTTTTAATTACATCAGTCACTTGTGGTGTTTGTAGGTCTTTATGAAGTGATTTATTGGTTATTTAGAAGGGACAATGAGTGATATACCGGAGAAATTTAGATTGGGAAATTTGAATAGTCTGTAAGTGTGTTTTTTTTTCATGAACCCCGCATCTGAGAGGCATACGTCCATATTGGTCTGAGTAGCATGTTGTATATAGTAATTTTGTTAGAAAGTGATAGTATTTTTTTATGGTGTAGCATTCGTCTTAGTAGTGACAATCGATGGTTCAATCTCTTTTTTAATGTAGTCACGTGTGATTTCCAGGTCAGTCGTCTGTCCATTGTGAGTCCTAGATATTTTGTCTCTGTATGATTTCGCAAAGGGGTGTTGTAAAGTGTCAGTGGAGGGCAATCCGAACGTTTAAGTGTAAATGTAACCTGATTTGATTTTTGAATGTTAATTTTTATGCGCCATTTATCAAGCTAGTCTTGTAGAAGATTTAAATAAACAGTTAATAAGTTATAAATTTTATGTGAGTAGATTTTATTACATAAAATCAATAAGAAGTCAAACATACAGATTGTTATTACTGAAAATATATTAAAATTAAAAATACAGTAGATGGCGACAGTTTAGTTCACTCAGTGCTGAACTAGGAGTGAACTATTACTGCTGCCATCTACTGTAATACAGATGGTAACAAATATGTGAGCTCCTTTGATTTTAATTTTAATATATTTTCAGTAATAACAATCTGTATATTTGACTTCTGATTAATTTTATGTAATAACACGTAGTAACTAGTTCAATAAGGTGAACTGAACTAAAGAGACTAGTTCCTTAATAATAACCTGTACCACTAACAACCCATGAAGAGTCTTGGGTTTCGTACTAAGTATTGTTACAAGGTAAACGGTTGGGCAGGGAGGTGACGGGCCAATATCACACTCGACTAGTTCCTTAAAAAGAACGAATTTGTCCAGCAATAATGGAGAGTATACTAAACTATTGGATGATATTTTATGCCATTAACATACAAAGGAAAATAAGTTTACACAAATCCATACAATGAATTTCAACCAAATTGAATGAGCTGTTTTTGAAATGTAACCATGTCTAATAAAATACATTTAGGCATGCATAAGGTAAAGTAATGGATGGTTTTAAATTGACATGTTATAATATAATATAATTGTAAATATAAATATAAATAATATATATACATATATATAATTGTACCTGTAATGTTCAATGAAATTAAATGTAATTGAAAATTCATTTCAATTCAAAATTCAAAGTACAAAATAAAAAAAACGTTTTTGGTCCTCATTGTAGAACTGGATAGCTGGCCATCGATGATATACTACAGATGTTTTTAATGGATCTTTTAAATCGAATGTATCCACCCTCTCCCCAAGCTGCCCCCCAGGAGTTCTTAACCAGCCAATATTCTTCTCCGTTTTCAGAGCCGTATCCTACCAGAAGGATCGCGTGGTCAATCATATACTTGCAGGTATCGCCATTGAAGACGCCTAAGTCCATAAGTTCAATTATAGTGAATTCTCATTGTAATGGTCAGCGAGAATAGCAATGTTACTAATGATGAATTATGCAAATACTAACCTCCTTTGTAGAACCTGAAATGATCGTGGTTAGCACTGACTCCTACAGAGATTGGCCCAACAGTGGCAACGGCAGCCTTTAGAGCGTCGTCGTCTCTGTACCTTATATTTGTGTAAGCTTTGAGTTTGGTTCCTGGCACTACCTTATCCTTGTTGTACCTACAGGTGCCATTCTATAAGAGAACCGATTAGTTTGTTAATAGTTAAGTTTACTGTTATCTGTTATATTATAATTAGTTATTTAACTATTTGGAATACCTAATATATTGGTTGTTCCCAATGTTATCAATTTTAATTTTGTTTTATTAATAGTTAAATCAAATATTTCAGTTTAGTATTCTTTTTAAGTTAGAACCTGGCTAGCGTTAGGATGGCAAACTCTCACCGATAATGATCAATTTAGACCTGGGAGAGGTGTTAAAATGGAAGATTAGGTGTAGGAGAATGAGTCATAAAATCCTCGGATAAGTATACGAGGAATCAATCATCCTTCGAATCAATCAAGAGAGCATTAACAGACTCGCTAAGGCTCTAATAAGAGAATCGCGTATTAGCAAATCGGTCTACAAATAAATGAATTAAAAAAAATATTATAGAATGCCGAATATTAGACTTCAGTAACATAATTGAGGAAATGTTATCGATAGTAGACAAATTTAAATACTCCAGTCCAGATTCAACTCAATTTTCTCTTCTATTTTTAAAAGATGATCAACCTTGAAGTATGGTGTCAAAACTGGGGAATTAAAATAAATCCCATCAAATTACCTTCACTCTTCGACGTAAACCTATGACTTCCTGTCCTACAGTATCCTTAAACAATTCCCCACTTATCCCTGTTGAACAAATCCTGTACCTAGGACTTCATCTGGACAAATGACTCACTCGGAATCCTCATACAAGACTGAAACGACAAGAAACTGCTCGACGTTTTTGACTACTCCATCACTTACTAGACTGATGCTCTAAACTTTCTATATATTACAAAAGACTTATATACATGACTATAATAAGGCCAATCTGGAATTTAAATTTTCATCGAGCTTTGGGGCTCCACTAAACCATCGAATTCCTCTCGTATCCAATCCTTTCAATCCAAAATCCTTCGTAAAATCCTCAATACTCCTTACTTTGTCTGAAATAAAATCATTCATAACGACCTTAACGTACCATATGTCTCCGATTTAGCCCAATCCAGATACCTATCCTTCCATAAAAAACTTCTAAACCAACCGAATTCTCTCGTTTTAAACCTTGCTTCCTCTTCGATACCTGATAACCCTCCAAGGCGTCTGATAAGAAGACGGCCTCGTGATCTACTTAAAATAATGTAATAATGTATAATAATATCAATATAATATTAGAGTGCAACAAATGGGTAGTTTCTCAACGTTTTCATGTTTCTCAACGTATTACTACCTTGTGTACATTTACTGGATGTATTTTTAATTTTTACAGTTGTAAATCTCATGAATAAATAAAAATTAAAAAAAAGATGATCTTGGTAAAGAGAATTAATTAAGTATCAGTAGAAAAAAGGCCTCTTTAGTCTCAATATTTAAAATACTTTATTTTAAATATATCCAAATTTTCGCCTTTTCAGGTATCTTCAGGGATAAAATCTGATGATACAGTATATTGCGAATTTTCATTCGCTTATAGCAGTGCACCATATTGGACACCATGTTGTACCCAACTGCCTGAGAGGATGAAGAGGCAAAAATTTGGATAAATTTAAAATAAAGTATTTTCATTATTGAGACTAAAAACGCTATTTTTCTACTGACTCTTCTATTTTTCAAAGTATTTTAACTCCTGAGCCAGTTCTGTTATATGACTACAAGAACTGGACTATGACCAGCAACCTAGAAAGAAGTATACATATATTGAAATTTATGAGATAAAAAATCCAAAATATAACAGGAAGGATCCGGAATCGGAGTACTAACGCTTGGAGAAGAAGGATAAACAAAAAGTCTGCTCTATCAAGGTCTCCATATATGAAAGAAAGCAGGTTAAGATGGACCGGGCATGTAGTTCAGAGCAATCCATCGGAAACCCTCTGAACAACAATGAAATCCTACCGTAGTAGGCGACAGACCAGGTGAAAGGCCAAATCACCAGATGGATAGATGGAATCAATTAAGATGCTGCTAGAGCTTCGTGCATATAACAGGTATAAAGTAGCCCAAAATAGGCATTCTGACAATAATAAAAAAAATTAAGGTTAAATTCTTACTAATGCTTCATATGGATACGAATCTTCCTTTTCCAATCCTTCGGCATCCATTAGGTACGTAAAGGAGCTATATATTCTTCCACCGTCACACCCAGTATTATGATAACTTCCGGAACAATCTATAAGTTGCTGTTCGCTGAGAGAGACGAGTTTTCCGGTCTTCCGGAACAGCTGGCCTTCCACTGCTCCAGTCTAAAAACCATAATTTTATAATTTCTATCTGCAAGTCCATCAATTTTTCGAAAAAGCAATCAATCAATATACTTACACTACTAAAAGCCCAACAAGATCCACAGCTACCTTGACTTTTTACAGGAGTGACTGCACCTAACTGCCTCCAATCAATTGATTCCGGTATTTCCACGTTTGCGGGAGGAAGGAATGTGAAGCTAGGTTCCTGCATCATTTCTCCAGTTGTATCGAATCCTAACTGGGGTACTTCTTCCGGGAGCTAAATTTAAACGAATTACAAGTACTACAAAAAGTCATAACTTATATTACACCACTTCAGCCACTTTCTACATATATTACCATATCCCCGAAGTGGTTCATGGCCAAAGAATAAGTTACTAGTCCAGCTTCGAATTTTGCATTATGTTCTTCAATCATTTTCAGATGATGAGCAAAAATGTTCATCCTGAGATGTTCTTCTTCAGTGCTATGATATGATTTTCCATGTTGCTTCTATAACAATACAACATTTACCATTTTATTAGCCTCAATATTATTGAATTGAGTAACAATTTGGGCTCGGAAATAATATATCTGCTTTAAGACTAACTTTAAATGACGTCCACTGTTCGTTAGCTTCAGGCGTTGAGGCTGCAAACGCCACCAGAGCAGCCAGAAATATAATTTTCATCCTGTAATCATTTTCATATTCTAAAATACTTATTAGAATACTAACAATACTATTTTTTTTGTCTAATATTAAAATATGCTATACTCATATAATAAGGATGAATTATACATTCATTTTATTATTTACATGAAACAATTAAGACATGAATCGAACTTAAACAAAAGAACAGCATATAAATGAAAAATATGTTTTCATATTTTTTTTGAAGAAGGATCTGAAAGATGTGGACTTGAAGATATCGAAAATAGCATATTTAAACAGAAAAATTTCAAAACATTAAGTAAAATAAACATGGACACAAATATTATTAGACCCAGACCAGAATTAAAAATACCTTCTTGGAAAAAATACAGACCAGTGATAAATAGATCTATGGCCAAAATATCAAGAACGTACCGATTGAAATCCAGAAATCATTATTAAAATGACTGAAAATTATACAAATTTCGTATTCATATACACTGATGCATCCAAGGAAGGAAACAATGTAGGATGTGCTGTAACAAATAAGGCGAATCAACCTGCCATATGAATGCTCCATTTTTACAGGAGAGGTGACTGTCATCATGAACAGTCTTTATTTTATAAGAGATTCTATAAAAAGAAGTGCTGGGTCGTTGTAACTGATTCATGGAGTGTCTTAGGAGCTATCGTCAACCCATCCCTAAGTAATTCTATTATTAAAGAAGTATTAAATGTATGGTTGGAAGCAAAAAACAAAGGCGTGTCAATAGTGTTCTTTTGGGTACCAGCCCACTGCGGAATCGAGGGAAATGAATAAGCTGACCAAGCAGCCCATTTAGCAAAGAGTAAAGAAGAAAAGGATAATATTAAAGAAAGTTACATTAGAAGGCGGGCTACATCACGCCAAAAAAAAATACTACTAACAGAATGGAAGAAAGAACATAAAATGAAAGAATGCAAAATGACAGAAATAAAGCCTAATTGCGACAAATGGATCACAAGCTACAGAAGTTCAAGGAGAGAAGTTATGCTTTGCCTCATAGGATAGGATGCTGCCAGTTTACACATAGCTACTTTATAAGAGGTCTCGAAGCGCCCACGTGTGAAAAATGTAATAATATTCGACAAACAGTGAAACGCTTACTGAAAGAATGTACTTGATAGTTACGTGCAAAAAACAGGCTTAGCCAGAACCTTAAAAGAAACCCTTCAAGATACTGAAGAAATAATCAATACCTTGTTTGAATTTTTAAAGTTAATAGAGTATTACAAAATAGAGGCGCGAAAGAGAGAGAAAAAAATGAAAAATAGGACAATCATATTCATAAATGTTTACAACACTCAACCAAGATATACCTTAGCCAGTCTCCTAACCGCATACGAGCAAACCATGGCTTTAGGATATCTTGACGTTTTTCTCGCACGTCATGAGTATTTATGCAATAGACGCTGAGTTAGTTTGCTTAGGTCTATAATTGTTGCTAGTGGTAAACTTTATAAGGTTCTTACCTGATGTTGCTGACAGAAGCTGAAAGAATAAGTAATTAAGATTTTTCGAATCGAACAATTTATACCCATTCGGCAACACTTAACTCGAGAGGTGTTCTTAATCATCGTTTGCTTGTGACACAAAATTAACCATTGGTATCATAATTCGATAATTTCTTGGCAGAGTCTCTTAGGCCTTTCACTTTGGTCAGAAATACTGCAAGTAATTGTTTTCAGGGTATAGTGTGTTCCGAAAAATATTTTTCAATCTGTCCAATATCCATTATTTATTAATTTTTAATAGGTTTATTAAATATAGTAACTTATAATAAGTGTATTTCATTTGTATCAAAAGCCGAATTTATCCACACGTCCAAATTTCCAGTTGTTATAATTATTGCATCCTTATTTCTGTTTCTATTTTCTAGAGTTTCATTAATATTAGCTCGAACCCATTTTATAGAAAATTAAATTATACAACATATTTTCAATTTTTTCGAATCCGACATAATAATTCCATCATAATCACTAATTGATTTATATATTCACAAATTAAATGCTTGCCATTTTTTAAATAGGTTTGTTACATTCAAGAAATTGTATCCCTAAAACTGAGTTTTTGAAAATAAAAATAATACCTATATTATATGTGGGTGTTTCAATTTATACCCATTCGGCAACACTTAACTCGAGAGGTGTTCTTAATCATCGTTTGCTTGTGACACAAAATTAACCATTGGTATCATAATTCGATAATTTCTTGGCAGAGTCTCTTAGGCCTTTCACTTTGGTCAGAAATACTGCAAGTAATTGTTTTCAGGGTATAGTGTGTTCCGAAAAATATTTTTCAATCTGTCCAATATCCATTATTTATTAATTTTTAATAGGTTTATTAAATATAGTAACTTATAATAAGTGTATTTCATTTGTATCAAAAGCCGAATTTATCCACACGTCCAAATTTCCAGTTGTTATAATTATTGCATCCTTATTTCTGTTTCTATTTTCTAGAGTTTCATTAATATTAGCTCGAACCCATTTTATAGAAAATTAAATTATACAACATATTTTCAATTTTTTCGAATCCGACATAATAATTCCATCATAATCACTAATTGATTTATATATTCACAAATTAAATGCTTGCCATTTTTTAAATAGGTTTGTTACATTCAAGAAATTGTATCCCTAAAACTGAGTTTTTGAAAATAAAAATAATACCTATATTATATGTGGGTGTTTCAAACTGAATCATTTATATTACATTAATTGAAAATGAGTGTTAAAGAATTAAAAAAAATCAACGATCTACACATCTACTTGTAGCTTCATCAGAGCTTATGACCATTGCTATGTTGAGTTATGATTCAATAAGGATCTTATCTTCCATCCGAAGAGGCGTAAGAAACCAAAGAAGTCATTTTATTAAGTCGATCCTGTTAAGTAAGTAAATATCTTAAATTTCAAAATCTTAATCGACCATTGTATTTATGAAACTTTTATTATGATATTTACAACTGTATTAGTATGAATACATCTAGTAAATTTGTACAGAGAAATATTATTACATGAAACACGCTTGTTGAGAAACTACCCACTGGTAGCACTCTTATATTTATTTTTTTAATAGTAAAACGTATAAATATCTCTATTTGGCAGTTTCCATCACCTCATTTCCAATTTTAATTTTGCCAATTGTTCACTGATTAATGTAGTATGCACGGAACAACCAATAATAATAGAATAATTATACGTATGTGCCGACGCTAGGATTTGTGAGTATTTCCAAGTAATAAAAACAAAGCAATTAATTGCAACTACATTATTTCTCAGTACTGTCATTGAAACAATTGCACAAACTTAACACCTCTTGTGATTCCCTTGTATTTTTATTGTTATATCTTTCATAATGGAATACGTAATCTTTGCTACTTGAATTTGAAGTGACTATACCATTTTTAAAGTACGCACTCTGTTGGAACTGAAGTTTTTCCTATAGTCCCGTGTTACAGACCCCTTTTTATAAAATTATTAACATCCCTCTAAAAGTTCCAGAATAGGTTCATCTCATTGTTATCTATAGTTATTTTATTGACGAAAATGGAGATTTTATGACTGTCTTCGATAATGCGCAAAAATGCAACCAAGGACTTGCAGGTCTCATAACACTGGACCACCTTCATCTAGCTTATGATTGTCTCCTCCCGCTTAAAGACCAAAAGTTTAAAAATGTCAACCAGCTAGCCAGAAAGTATGTTTGGCTAAACGAGATTAGGACCAGTTGACGTCAGATGCTTCAAACGATCCTGAGGTGACTGGAGGAGAGCTGGCAGACTGAAGAAGTATGATGTATTGCGTATTGTTGATGTATTACGCCAAAGATGTTGTACTTTCTTTGTTAATAAATGTTTTGTAAACTGAAATATGATTAATTCTGGCGAAAATGGTCCTACAAAGGGTTTTTCATTCACTTTGGAGCAAAACGGAGGGAGCTCCAAAATTCAAAGTTTCATTGCACGTACCTGAGCGCATGCATTTGTGTGTATTCTGGTCAGTTGTATTTGATACCCTATAACCTAGCACAAGACTGAATATTTTTTGGTTTCGGTGAAAACTGAATTTTTAAAACTTTTTTTTTTAATTTGCTACATACTGCAAAAAGTGGAGCTGCCTCCTTCTTGGACCAAACCCTTCAATTCTGGATATTGGTTCATTATAAATTTAGAGGTCGACAAACTTTGTCTATTAAATCAGTTACTTAAAATTCATGGACACCTATTTGTTTTTCATTTGAATAGAAAGATAATTTTATCACAAAATCAAGGATAAAGGTGGCCTCCCCAACATGTCAAAATTGTAAGGTTATACAGGCCAAACGTACCAATGCTTTTGTAGGACACCTTTTTCTCGATTTCGTAATCAAATTATCTCACGATTCGTGAGGAAAGCAAAGGGTTATTTATGACTTTTTAGTAATTAATTAAATTAATGAGAAAACGCCCTACTTCTGATAATTTTCGTAAATAAAACATTAGCAGTTATGAAAATAAATAAGATAAAAAGGAACCTGTACCATGACCTACTTTCTTAGACTGTGTTTATGCTAAAGATTTTCATTCCATTGAAATTTAATGTGAATGATCTCTTTATTAAAAATTTTAAGGTTACGAAACAATTTTTTTTTTATTTCAGAATAATCCATATTAATCAAATTTTAAGCATCAATCAATAAGAAATAAAAACGACATAAAATGTGCCCAGTACGAAAGATTTGTTTCTCAAAATATGGATTAAATGATTTCGGATTACATACTTTCATGTTTAGTAGTATTGAATATAGCTTGTGTTTGCGGGCGCAATACAGTATTAGGTTATTGCTTCGACAAATGTATGATACGGTACTTGACCAGCCCAATCGCACTTCCCCGATCGTCTCCAAGTTGGGTTATGGAGTTACCGCATGTTTTCAAATCATCGAGAACGCTATCGTTCTATCTATCTTTTAATCTAGCTACTTCAGGTTTTCCTTTACACAGTTTATTTTAGCTGTCGTGTCCTGATTTTTATTTTTATTAGTCTTAGCCTTCTTGAAACATGACTACAGGAAGATCTCCAAGTAAAGTTTCTTGTTTTCCTTCATGTATTGTGTCATTTTTTCAAAACCGAGCCTCATATTAGTCTTAAGCACTATCTTTCAAACTGGATTAACTTTTCTGCTCTTGAAATACTTATCTGGAGTGCGAGAGGTCTGATTAGAGAGTTCTTTCAGCGGTGCCCAGAATAAGGTAGCTTGGAGCAGGTTGGGCATACAAAATTTTTAAAAGGGGGCACATTTTTACAAGGTTTGGATTTTTTTAGGAGGATACATATTAATGAAGTTATGAATTTTAGGAGGTAGTCATATCCTGGAGGGAGTATTAATTGGAGAGAATTTTCAAACCAAGGTACAAGAGGAAAACTAAACTACAAAGTTATAAATTTACTTTCATTTGCACAGTTTTTAAGAAAAGGAAAACAATAAATGAGAAGGAGTTGGTTGGGGAGGAGGGTGCGGTCAAATAAATACTATATTTTAAAAAAATAGTATTTTTAATTGAATTGAAATTTAAAATTAATTCAAAATTCTAATTTTAATTCAATTAAAAATACTATTTTTTTAAATTAATTTAAAATACTATCTTTTAAAAATTTAGTATTAATTTGACCGCACCCTCCGAACAACTCCTTCCCATATTTATCACGGTCAACCATCTCTACATCATTATGAAAACAATAAATATTCTTGGTAGGAAGCAGGTGCTATCGGCCTTGGGGAGGTATGGGTACCCCTGAGTTATATAAAAAAAAATTTGATTTCTTACCGAGTAGCTTTGAAATGCAAAATATGTTTTATTAGCTGAAGCTACTCTCGTACAAATTTCCTCTTCTTCCTCATTAGAAACTCCTCTATACGAATTTTCAAACAGTGGAAACAGGTCACACTCTAACATACGTCAGCGATCTTCCCACTGCCCCCAGATCATAATCTATAAGCAAGAGTTTTCATATTACGTTTGGAAATGGCTCCTTTGATTGGTAATTCAGCCTAGGCATAGCCGTATTGAAATACAGAGGCTTTTCAATCTTTTCTCAGGACTGCTCAGACATTGATTTTTTCTGTAGTTGATCAGTTTACTCTAATCCTGCAATGCACATACGATATTTAGTCTGATTACGTTGGTGGAGCTCGCATCGAAACATTGTCTCGTAGACATTCTTGAATTCTAAAAAAAATTATCCACAAACTTTTATTAAATTCTTTTATCGTTGCATACATCTGTTTGAGGTAAATATCTGGTCTTAGATCTATTAGATGTAAATCCCTCTTGGTAATCTCTACGTTTAGGCGGTTGTATAGAGTGATTGAAAAGGTAAAAAAAAAATATCTGGTGTGTCCACTCACACGAATTTCCTACCTATTTCAGAAAAGTTTTTATATCTTTACATATGTTCATGAAGAAACAAAAATAATTGAACTAGATACATTTTCCTGAAAATTGATCAAACATAAAATTTGAGTACGATTTATTTGATAAACTAAAGCAATCTAAACCGGCTTAAGGTAGATCAGTGTAAAAATTCTAATACTTCCTAATATTGCTGATCAAAAACTTTTCGCCATAGCTTAGTATTAGTCAATTCAATTAGTCATCTTTATTCTCTCATTCACCCCTTTCTGACACCAGGATATGAAACCGTAATCTTACATTGGAAATTGAATAGCTGTAACTTCGTTAATAGTTGTCCAAAATGAACGATTTTTATATGGCTGTGTAGGGAATTTCATTACCTTTCAAACGGCGTACAGACTCTGATAGAATGAACAGATAGATCCGTCGAAAGCCACATGTCGGAAATTTGACCCGATTGCAATACTTTCCTTACCTAGTATAGGTAGGAAAGTAATAAGTTAAAAAAATGTGTGAAAAATAGAATAAGCTGTATCATCACTAATACTGGTTTGATTCGGATGATTTTTTTTTTTGTTTTGTTGGTAATTTGATTACCTTTCAAAAGTTAAATTAAATAAATTTAAGCGTATAATATATACTTAGGGAGTTAGACCCCATAACATTTTTCTTTTCTTTATAACTTTTTTTCCTGAATTTTTTTTGGGAGTTTAGTCTATATACGAAAATTGAAAGAACAATGATTAGAACATTAGAAAATCGTTAGAGCCATTTTCGCGCTACAGTCTATAGAAAAACAGGTTTTTCATTTATTGCGTATGGAGCACCGAATTTCTGTCACAGGCATCAGTAGTCAAAACCCTACAAAATAAAAAAAGGAGCAACAAAATCGATTTAGTAGTTCCCGAGAAAATCTTGGCACAGACAGACAGACCAATGGCTAAAAATGTGTTTTTCAGACTCAAGGGGATCTGAAACGAATAGATCCGTCGAAAGCCGCATATCGGAAATTTGACCCGATTTCAACACTTTCCTTACCTAGTATAGGTAGGAAAGTAAAAACTTATTAATATAATCTAAAAACGCTGTATGACCATCCGATCAGGAGATCGTTTAACTTTATATCTTTATAATCAGATGGCACTGCTTCATCTTGTCTCTCATCTCAGTCCTGTCCCATATTCGGTGTTATGTTACATGAGTGATTTGATTGTGATTGGATAAAATCTTTTATCTCAAGGACGTCTGCCAGTAACGTAAGCAGACGCCCATCCTCATTATCTAAGCACACAATATTTCGAGCAGTAGCTACTTTTCCAAGATCCTACTTCCTTTATGATTTTTTTTGTCTCATAATTTCTTCTCAATTACAAGGCAATGCAAGCTTCTTCGATGATTTAAAAACATGCGGCAACCTTATAACTCAAGGTGGGGACGATCGGGTCAGAGCGATTGATTGAGCTGGGCACTTTGTATTATACATTTGTCGAGCCAATAATGTAATACTATGGTGTTGCGCCCGCATTCACAAGCAATATTTACTACTAAACTTTTGTTACTAAATATTATTAAACATAAAAGTATGTAATCCGAAACCATTTAATTCATATTTTGGAAAACAAAACCTTTCGTGCTTCACATTAAATTTCAATGCGATGAAAATCTTTAGCCTAAACAAAATCTAAGAAAGTAGTTCGTGGTACAGGTTCCTTTTTATCAAATTATAAATATTTCGAGCAGTAGCTACTTTTCCAAGATCCTATTTCCTTAAAGAATTTGTTTGTCTCACGATTTCTTCTCGAAATTTCAATTACAAGATAATATTACATTAAAAATTGTGCATCAACTTCAAATTATAAGCTACTAGCTAAATTTGAATGCTATACTATGTTAAAAAAAAAAGTATTATATCAGAACCGATGAAGTGTCAGACTTGTTTATTTTGAAGAAATCATAATGAATTTTCAGAAAATAAAACTGACACGATGGGTATTTGTTGATATTTCTCTTTTATATTTTTCAATTAATTGTGAAATGTGAAGTGATTTTAAGTGAACTTTTTGTCATCAATGGACTCGAAGAAATTACGCGTTATATTTTGCATTAACCTTCAAACTTAGAGATAATGGTATTTTGGATATCGGTTTTTCGTGTCAATCTATGAAGAGAAGCAGACGGTTGTAGAGTCATGATCATCCACCGCCTTTACTAATAATGACTCAGTAAAGTACCCAAACAAATAAAGAAATATTGGAAGTTTGGTAGAACGTGACTTATGTAGTTTCTTTGATTTCTAAAAAAAAACTAGTGAAACTGTTTCAGGCCTTCATAGAAAACTTTGTGGAATAAATAGTGAGGGAAAAATCTTAATGTTGTGTAAGGATTATAGTGTAACTATACTACTGTGACACAATGTAAAAATGAAAATATTTTGAAACAAAAAAAATGATACAGAACCACATTACCGCCGAAAACGTATAGGAAAAAGGAAATATTTTAATTATCTATTTATTTCCATTCTTCTTTTCCTGCAGGATAAACTTTATTTCGAAGAGTAAATTGGTAAAGATTTTTGAATCTGGAAATTAGTATTAGTTTCTTCAGTGCTTTAGTGGAATTGAAAATATTTGAGATGCAAACGGAAAGATTATTAACGTCTTCTTGATTGATGTTATGATCTAAAAATTGGGTGAGAAATGAAACTTTTTTATTGAGAAAATTAATACTTTGAATAGTTTCTCGGATTTTTAAGTTAAGCAGAGATTTTTTGAATTTAAGAGTGGAAGTTAATAATTTTGAATTACCTCCGTTTAACTCTATCTTTAACTCTATCTCTGTTGGTTTTCTATCTTATTTCAGTTTTCTACTTTTTTTTCCTCCTTCCTTTCATTCCTTTTCTCTGTTTTAAATCTTTATTCTATTATATGTTGTCAGTACATTTTGATTGACTTTACAATAGCTCAATTTTCTATCTAACTATTCTATTTACAATATCTTAATTTTACTATTTATTTTTATTTCTTACATAACTTCATATTCCTATTTTCTGTTTTACATTTTATTCTAAGATTACCATCTTAGTACTTATGTCACCTTATTTTGATTATGCTTTACAAACTCCGTAAATTCCTTCCTTCTACATATTTTCTTATCATCAGTTCCTATCTTACTGATAGGCACTTCAAAGTAAATCACAATAATACCTATTCATCCCTCTTTTCTCAATCTGCCGGAGTTCCTCAAGGTAGTATCCTTGGTTCTATCCTTTACACAGTTTATACAGCTGACATCCCAACCCATCCTAACACTGTTATTACCACGTATGCCGATGATACATGTGTCCTATCCGTTAATAATGACCCAACCATTGCATCCCAAACTCTTCAATCACACATCACAAGCCTTGAAGAACGGTGTCAAAACTGGAGGATTAAAATAAATTCTAATAAATCCCATCAAATCACCTTTACCCTTCGACGTAAACCTATGACCTCATGTCCCACAGTATCCTTTAATAATACCCCACTTATCCCTTTTGAACAAATCCGATACCTTGGACTTCACTTGGACAAACGTCTAACTTGGAATCCTCATACCAGACTGAAACGACAAGAAACCGCTCGACGTTTCCGACTACTCCAACACTTACTAGACAAACGCTCAAAACTTCCCATTAATTACAAAAGACTCATATACTTGACTATAATAAGACGGAGTTGAGCTATGGGGCTCCACTAAACCATCGAATTCCTCTCGCATCCAATTCTTACAATCCAAAATCCTTCGTAAAATCCTCAATGCTCCTTACTTTGTCACTAATAAAATAATCCATAAAGACCTCAATGTTCCATATGTTTCCGATTTGGGCCAAATCCAGATACCTATCCTTCCATAATAAACTTCATAACCATCCGAATCCTCTAGTTTCTAACCTTGCTTCCTCTTCGATTCCTGATAACCCTCCGAGGCGTCTGAAAAGAAGATGGACTCGTGATATTCTCATGTAGACAAATTCTTAGAGTGCTACCAGTGGGTAGTTTCTCAACAAGCGTGTTTCATGTGATAATATTTCTCTGTACACATTTACGTGATGTATTCATACTAATACAGTTGTAAATATCATAATAAAAGTTTTTTAAAAAAAAAGGTTATAATTGAAAACTTTTTTCTCCAACTGCGCAGCTATACATATAATTTGTATTTGCGAAAAATCTATGGAATGGATTGTACAGTTATACAAAACTTTAGTAATTTATTTTAAATAAAATACAAAATAAAGGAATGCAAAATGGCATTTATTTGAATATTTAAAGTTCCTTATAATTGACATTTTTTAATTCTTTTCTAAATTTGTTTGGTCCAAAATTTAATGAAGCACCAAATAACGAAGTACCAATGTAACAGACAGTGATAAGATAAGATAAATATATAAATTGCTTCTGAACCTTACGACAGGATTGGATAACTGGCCATAGATGAAATTTCGCAAACGTTTTTAATGGATCTTGTCATCTTCATGTAGCCATCCTCTCCCCAATCTAGGCCCCAGGAGTTCTTGACGAGCCAGTAGTCTTCACCGTTTTCAGATCCGTAGCCGACCAGGAGTATTGCGTGGGTTATATCACCCCCGCATGATTCCCCATCAAAAATACCTGCAATCGTTGATTATGTTTCAGAAAATATTAGCTGTAAAAATATATATTATAATAAATACTCTAACGAGTACAATATAGTTATATTGACCTTTTTCATAGTACAAGAAACCATCGTTGGCAGCAGTTACTCCTACAGAGATGGGTCCCACTGTAGCTACGGCAGCCAAAAGAGCGTCGTCATCCAATTCCTTAATGTCATAGTAAGCTTTGACTTTGGTTCCTGGCACTACTTTATCTTTGTTGTACCTACATGTGTTGTTCTGTAAGAGGAATAGTCGTCTTGAAAAACACTGGTCGATTGTTATTTACGATTCTTGATTTATGAAATACGTTTGATTTTAGATTATTTTAAAAAATATTCTTACTTTTGCTTCATAAGGATATGAATTTTCGCTTTCCAATCCTTCAACATCCTTTAGATAGTTAAAAGAGCTGTCCATAAATCCGCCATCACATCCACCATTACCGTAACCATCCGAACAATCCACAAGCTGCTGTTCGCTGAGAGAGACAAGTTTTCCAGTCTTCCTGAAAAGTTGACCTTCTACAGCTCCAGTCTAAAAATAACGTTGTAAGTCTATTAATTTTTTAATAAAACATCCTTCACTTATTCTAAGTAGAATTTAATCTCTAAACTTACACTGCTGAAAGCCCAACAAGATCCACAATGACCTTGGTCTTTCATAGGAGTAACAGCACCAGACTGCCTCCAATCAATTGACTTTGGGATTTCCACGTTAGCGGGAGGAAGGAATGTGAAGCTGGGTACTTGCCTCATCTCGCTTTTTCTTTTTAATCCCAAATGGGCCACTTCTTCTGGGAGCTATAAGATATGGAATTAAATGTACCACAGCTGATGGAGAATTATTTCTTACAACATTACTCAATATGGAAATGTATTACCATATCTCCTAAATGATTCATCTTCATAGAGTAAGTTACCAGACCAGCTTCGAATTTGGCGTTATGTTCTTCGATCTTTTTCTGATTATGATTAAAAATATTCATCCTAAGACGTTCTTCTTCAATACTGTGGTATGATTTTCCATGTTGTCTCTATAAAAATAATATAAAATTTTCATTTACGCTTTGTTGTTGAGTTATTAAACAGTTATCAATTAACCCTAAATTCGATACGGTATAATTTTTTTTATACTAACCTTAAAAGAGGTCCATTGTTCCTTGATGGCAGGCGTTGCTGCTGCAAACGCCACCATGGCGAGAAGTAATATAACTTTCATCCTGTAATTAATTAGCACATATGTACATATTTATTATACTTGTTTTAGTTATGTTTTATTTTTCCACAACTTTTCGCAGTAGCGAAAATTAAAAAATGTCCGTCAAGGTTTATATATCTATCTTACAAATACAAATTACATAGTCTCCTTTATTTAGAGTTATATTGTTGTTATATCAAATGGATTCGGTTATAGAATCATACATCGTACAAAACTTGTTTGCTAAGTTCGACGTGGTTCTCACCTCAATATTAAGAAAACAAGAAATTAAAAATAATTAAGTGCTAACACCTTTTTCATTACTTATGAAATTTATCGCATTTAGCGAGAAGAAATATTATTTTCATCCTGTAATAAAGTTCATTGATGGATATATTATTATAAATCTGTAGTGCACCTATATGTTATTATACCAACGGTTTAAAGATTACACGTCTTCGAGCGATCTTTGTATTGGCAGTATTTTCTTCCCTAACGTGAGCATGTTATCTTAAAATCAGTAATATTTTCAAAAAATAGGAAAAATACAGTCAGAAGAAAAGAAAAATCTTCCAATTAAGTTCAGTATACCTTCCTCATCGTTTTCATTGGTCAAACAATTACCTATTTTTCAAGATCTATGATTTTTTTTTTTTTTTTTGAGAATAAAATCTCAGGAAGAAACCGTTTTTGATAATACAGTGATCAATCAATATTCTCGAGTGTGATATCCACGAGTTATGTTCCATATTTGCAAATTACATATTTGAGGATTCGTGATTAAAAAAAATCCCAGTACACACGGATAAATAGTATCTCTACCTTTGGTTGTGAGAAAGTAATTCAATAATATTTGTCTGCATTGAAGATATATTTTCTAAAATAAATAAAAAATAAAGTAACGACAGTTAGTCTATACTTTAAAAATATTTAATAAATTACTCGTTATTAAAACGGTATACAAACAAATAGTATACTATATTCCGTTTTGGTTTTCTCTCGGAGTCAACTCAAACTTTTTAACCTTAATAACCTTGGCACCGAGGCTCAAACTCATAATCTTCAGTTTATCAGGAAATGATAGCCGAACATGATAATGTTTTAGCGTAGCTTGTTTAACCATTCTCGAGTCTAGCGAATCCAGAGTGGGTAAATAATTTATGTTAAGTTTTAAATATAAAAGTAATTGAATCATATTGAATACTTAATAGTATTAAGGAAGGAGATGGTCCGGGGTGGCGGTCATAAATAGACTAAATAGTGGCAAAACTATTTTATTAAAAGCCAACGTTTCAACCCAACTTTGTAAGTCTTCTTCAGAGAGGTGTGTTCAGCTAGGAGTTTCACTTAGAACTGATAGTTCTAAAAGTTCTGACAGTTCTAAGTGAAACTCCTAGCTGAACATACCTCCCTGAAGAAGACCTACAAAGTCGGGTCAAAACGTTGTCTTTTAATAAAATAGTTTTGCCACTATTTAGTCTATTTATGACCGCGCCCCCAGACCATCTCCTTGCTTTATTTAATTGAATCTTAAATCTACATTCCAGAAATAAAAACTTTAAATTATGGTTTTTAATAACAAAAATAAAACAGGTTGAATTCATAATAGGGCCATGATTAAAATGTTAATTTTTATGATATAATGTCTATAACGTGAACTAGTTTAATAATACATTAGAACAGTTTAAGAATGTAATTTTAATTTTGAAAATTGTAAATTGTTGATTTTTAAAATGAAATGTCGCAAAGATTTAAATAAACACAACGTTATATAGACTATTAAGTTAATGTGGACAAGAGCAATTCTGCCCATACGATTTTAGTTTTTTAAAATAGGTATAATGAATAAAATATAAAGTATATAACGAAAATAATTAACGATTTTAATTTAACGTATTTTGTAAGTATTGTAAGTATTTTGTTTGTTAAAGGTTCCTTCCCTTGAAAATGGCCTCAGGGCTGAAACTTTTGTTTAAATAAAGAAATAAAGTAGGACTTGTTTTTATCAAATTATGTGTTTTCATTATTACTGATAAAGTGAAGTCCTAACCTACCAGATTAAAAATATAAGTATTAATTTAAATTGAGAAATAGGAAATGAAAATGGTAAAAATCATGAAGACTGTAAAATATAAAAAAAATTTACATATCTAAACAAACTGTCATAAAGCTTATAAATGATTACAAAAATAAAATTAAACAGGAACACAATTAAAAAATTTTACTGGTACATGTCGTTGAAAAAGAGCATAAATTTGATTTAAAATTGAAACCATAATTTACAAAGAAAAAAAATATACAGAAGATATATACAGAAGCAATAACAATTAAAGAAATCTTAAATATGTAATCAAATCCGTTACTTAATTAAGAAATACTAAATTATATTCCTTTAAAAAACACGACTTTTCTACCGATTTTAGACGGATTTGTACAAATTTAAATACGTGAACGATCATTCTATAAAATTCCAAATCAGTCTTTAAAGTATAATACACTTTAACTGGTCCAATTTCGAAGATTTTATTTAGTTTTATGGGAAATTTAATAACCTCTCAGAACTGACGATAAAGTGTTTTTGGCCTACATATACAAGCTGATACTGAGCAAGGAGCACCGTATTTGTTTCACATTAATCGGTAGGCAAAACTTTACAAAACAAAACAAAAAAGTCCAGTCGTTCCCGGGACTAATGGCTGAAAATGTACACTGACAGGCTAAAAATTCCACCGACTTGATTTTTTCATGTTTTCATCTAAAAATATTTCTGCTTTGGATTGGTCTATTGTTTTAATGGATAAATAGGTAATCATTTTGTTTGTTTTCAATTAGGAATGTTAATTAGAGGACAATAACCCTTAATCCTTAATTCAATGAAATGATTCTAGATTCCAATGTTTACTTTCTATGGAATCAAAATGTTTATTCAGTATCATTAGTTCAGTGCCGTTTCTTGCAGCACATTTCTTAGTCTCCGGCTTTTAATTTTTTCAATATTAAGTTTAAAAATGCCTCTTAGTGCTGAGGACGTTGCGCGTGGTGTGACACTTATTGATGATAGACGTTCCATTAGATATGCAGGTAATGCCATCGGAGTTCCATATGGAACATCACGAGACGCCGTCAGGCGTTTTCGGGAAACTGGTTCTTACAATAGAAGGGCCCGGTTCTGGACGGCCTAGGGTAACAGAACCACGGGATGACCGGTTTTTGACTTTGAGAATTTTACGAAATCGGCACCTTACCGTTGTTCAAGCGATTCATCAGCTCGAAGAAGCTTTATAACAATATTGAGGTTTTAGCCTGGCCAGCACGTTCTCCAGAATTGAACCCCATTGAGCATTTATGGGATAACCTCGGAAGACGAATAAAAGCGCGTTCAACACTTCCTTTCCTGATACACTGCAGGACCTTGAAAGGGCTCTTCGGGAGGAACGGGCTATCCTCCAGCAAAAGGACATTTCCCGACTGGTGGAAAGTATGCCAAGGCGTCTTCAAGAAGTAGTGAAGGCAAGAGGCTACTAAACGACGATGTAATTAATTTCTTTTAGAATAATAATGGTTCGTTTTTTAATTATTTTTCTCTAATCTTTCTTACCCAATCACATTTTGATTATTAAAGGTAAAAAAGATTATAAAATTCCATAAATACTAAGTCTTATCTACAAATACCATGCATTACATACAAATACAACTTTTTTTACAAGTGGCAGAAATATTTTTAGACGAAAACATGATAAAACCAAGTGGGTGGAATTTTTTGCCTGTCAGTGTATTTTTTGGACTTAGGGGGCTCTGAAATGTTAATATTTGTTGAAAACCGCACATAGCAAATCTGACTGGATCGCAATAGTTTCCTTATCCAGTAGTAGTAGGGAAAAAAACAATAATAATGTTTAAAAATGACTTATTAAATATTCTGATTAAATTAGATAATTTTCTTTAAATAACATTTTTAAAATAATAAAAGTTTTTTATTTTTGTTTGTAATCCATTAATTTGTATGGCTTCAGAAATGCATTTTAAAAAGTTCTATTCTCTACTTTCTCTTCTTACTATATTTATAATTTCAAATTTTCGTTTTACTAGTTTGGTTTGAAAATCAGAAATTGGTCGACTACGGCTCCTAGGATATCCTAACACTTCTCTCTCTCACATCTCTGGTTTCAAAAACTAGGAGATAATGTTTGAGAGTCTGTAATTATCGCTAATGGTAAATTTTAAACGATTCTTACCTGATGATGCTTACAGGAGTAAGAAGGATAAGTAACTCAGATTTTTCGAATGTAGCTTTTTATACCAGTTCGGCACCACTTTACTTCGAGAGCTGTTGTCAACCAATGTTTATTCGTGACGCGGTATTGGTCTCGAAATAGGCTAATTTCTTAGCAGAACCTCTTAAGTCTTACGATGTGATCAGAAATATGATAAACCAGATTTTTTTGTATTATAGATTATTAAAACACAAAAAAACAATTCGCTGAATCGAAACGTCCCTACTACATCTTCAAAACAACTTCTAATCTGCATTTTTCCTCTTTTAGACATTTTTTTTTTTTTTTAGTTTTTTATTTAAAACATTATAATATGCCTGATTAACGTATATTTGTAATAGAATTTAGAGAGAACATTCACATCCTATTTACATAAATATAAATAGAGCAATAAGTTGGAGGGAAAAGCGAGGCTCCAGGAGATCTCAGTGTTCTCCGTCTAACACTTCACTGGTATTAATAGCCAGCGGAAGTTGAGTAATGGCGCTACCCCAACAGACACCCATGACTTGAGTGGAGAATCTGGCCACTGCTAGAACTCCAATATATATATATATATATATATATATATATATATATATATATATATACTGACAAAAGGTCTCGAGACCACTGCCTATTTAACCTACGATGAGGATTATAGGGATGGGTGATGGCAGATAGAAATTGTGCGAGAGGATTTGGGGGATGAATAAGATTCAGATGAATTTGGAAAGTTTTTCTGGGATCAGATCATGAATAAATGAGATA